ACACACACACACACACACACACACACAAGCTCACTTTACAACACATCAAGAAGCAACAACTTCATAGACTGAAGTACAATGATAACTTATAGTCCTTTCTTTCATATACCAAGGGGATGTTACTGTCTCAGAGCCATGAGGACATATACACTGTAGATGCTCATCCTCCCCTCAGTGGGGACAAGATTTCTAGATCCATATCCTTGTGACCTCTTGAGCTGACAATTGTTAAGGGGATGGCTGATCTAATCTGTGACTCTGCAGTTCTGGGTGCATGCTTGGGACCTGTCTTTTCCCATTTCTATATCAATATTCAACAGATAGACAGAGCTTGACAAAAGGTTAACCAGATAACTGGGAAGGATACTTTCCAGCCCACCAAGAAAAAAGAGCACAAAGAATACTTATTGGCCCAAGAGCTTACAGTGAGGACAAGTCCAGCAGCAACAGCCACTATTGCTAAGCAAGCCAGGGGTGACCCTGAGGGAGGTCTGCCGGAGTGACTGAGTGCCCTCACCACTCTACAGTCAGAGATGGGAGTTCACGTTGCCCCTGGCATCTACTGATCTTCCCTAGGAAGAATCACCAACACAAAGGGGCCTGCATAGAGGTGGTACCTGCCACAGCACTGCAGGGATTTTTGTAGATGAAGGTATTGGAAACTGTCTCCTGGCAACGTGGGAATTAGTATAGACTGCTTTAAAGGGGTCACTTCCACCTACTTGGGTGCCTGGGAATCTATGCAACCTCAATTATCCAAGTCCTGAAGTGTGTGTGCAGCCAAAACAGACCTGGGGAACACTGACTCTACACCTATAGACCTTACCTCCACACGTCACTGCCCTTGGAAAACATGGAGGCACGAATGACTTCGGGTGCCATCCAAGCATATGTCCCTGCTGCGCTCATCTTGGTGGTTCGGTGCCATTCCCGAGCCAGGCCAAAATCAGTGATCTTCAGAATCTTGTTGCTCAGGTCTCCATTCTCCACCTTCTGGAGGATCAATACTGGGCAAGGAAAGGAATACAGAAGAAACCAGAGAGTCTGCGTTAATCACAAGGAAACCACCGACCACAGAGCCCTCCTGCCATCTGTTTGTCTTCTCCTGCAGGCTCCATCATGAAGCTACCACGGGCTGATGGTAGGAACCATCATCTCTTAAACACATACGATATATCCATTTTTGTACCAAGCCATATATAGGCATTGTCTCTAACCCTCACAACAGCCTTATGAGGTAGGTACTATGGCCATCTCTGTTTTACAGATGAGGAAACTGAGTTATAGCACCATTAAATACATTTTCCAAGGCCACCCAACTAATAAGCCAGGACTGAAACCCAGGCAGCCTGATTTAAGAGCCTTCTCTCTTAACCTCTATACCATACGGCCCATTCACACCTCATAAAATGAGCTGCATGTGACGTCACAGCTGACCCTTCTGAAGAGTGGCTACTTGGGTTTCCTGTTGCCAGGGCACCGCTGGATTATAACCACTCTCAGACCACAAAGAATGAAGGTACGTGTTGGATTTTCAAGGTTTCAGTATCTGAAGTGTTTCTATGAACCAATCCAAGTTACTTTACTGAAGCTCTTAAGGAAACACGTTTCTGGGCACAGAAACTTCCCCTTAATCCAGCAACTCACCCGCACCCATTGAGAACTGGCTGACAGGGTCAGAGGGCCCACACATTGTTCACATTCATGATGTTTTCTGTGAACATGGCCCAGGAAGGAGGAACTAGCGCACTGAACTGGTTATACTCTGGGCCCTGTCTCCCAACTTCTACCACCAAAGTACTGCAATGTGGGAGCCACCTTGAATTTCCTAGGACAGTAGCTGAGGCAACCATTTCACCTACAGGATGGTTCCAGTGATAAGTGTGCCCTTGTGCGAGCCAATCTTCCCCAAATGAGCAAAGATGCTAATTGATTAAAGTCCTGTCAGCTAAGCCAAGGAACTGTGCCTACGTGGGTAGCTAGTGAGCTCCTTGGATCTGTGGAAGCCAAGCCTCCACTTTCACAAGTGGGATGGTTCCGAAGGCCCTGAGCAAGGACAACCTCACGTGGGCCAGACACTGAACCACCTGGAATTCAGAGTTCTGTACACAGGATTTCAGGGAAGGAAGGAAGATTCTCTCTGCCATTCAGAAAGCAGGGGCAAGGGTTAGGGCAAGGGCCTTTGGCAGGTCCGTCAAGTCACACAACTGTCCTTTTCCTGTCCCCCACCCTCAGAAAATGTCTACTGAATTGGTAGCACATTGAAAGCACGTGCACCAAAGATCTCTATGTCCTACGTGCTTCTCAGAAAATCATCAGTAAAGAGGGATTACAAGCAGCTACAGAGCTGGAGGTGCAAAAGAAAACAGTGCCAGCCACTCCCTGGATCTAATGAACTAAGTCTCCTTCCTCCATACCCACCCTGGCACACCCCTCCGGACTCCCAGCTTCCAGCATCCCGAATGGGCCCAGGCCTCTGAATGCTTGGGAAGATTAAAAACAAACAAACAAACTTTCTCCACCTCATCTAATGACAAAAATCTTTCCAGATTCTTCTGTGTCTCCTCCTCTTCTCAGGCAGAGATAATGGACAAATACGCACTCAGGCTGCTGACACTAAAAGAAAGTGACAGCAAAGAAGCCCACCGTTCCCTCTGTAGAGGGGGCCACCAGCTGCTGATCCTTTCTCTCTGAGCCATCCTTAAACCAAAGATTCAGAGTGAACCCTTCTCCTTACATGGCCAGTGGGGTTCAGTCTGGTTACCCCAAACCTTCAGGTGGCTGGGACAGGGTGCAATGGGCAGGGGGATAAGAGTTTCATGGTACATATGGAACTGAGTTCCCTCAGATTCTATGCTGAAGTGGGGGCAGGGGCACAGAAGTTTGGATTCTGTTATAAAAAGATAGTTCAGCAACTGAATGGAATATTGAAGATGATTTTTTTAAGTAGACTAATCTGTCAGATGGCTTAAGAAAGATGGCAGAATGACGGAGATGGGGCAAGAATCCGCCAAGGACAGTCTGGCTGAACCTGAAATGCCTTTATATCGTGCAGATCCAGCCCAGTCCGACCTAATCCCCTCTAACTACTCTCTGCTGCCTTACACCCAGCTGACCTCCAACATTTACCCCAACAGGCTGGGCCCCTGAAGGCATCGGAGTTAGAAATCTCTGGCCCAGGGGTCCTGTCCTCAGCCAAGAGGAGAGGTTGTAATCAGAAGCCAGCTAGTAATCCTGGTGGATGGCTACAGCCAATGATTCTCAACAATGGGGTCCTGACATACTGGTATCAACCAAGCATTTATTGCTATTAATAATTACGGAAACTACGTTTATGAAACCTTTACTTTTTTTGCAGTTTTTTTTTATTGAGATGAAAGTCACGTAACATAAAACTAATCATTTTAAAGTGAACAATTCAGTGGCATTTAGTACATTCACAATGTGTTGTACAACCACCACCTCTATCTAGTTCCAAAATATTTTCATCACCCTTATAAGGAAACCCCACACCCATTAAGCAATTATTCCGCATTCTGCCTTCCTCTCAGGCCCTGGCCACCACCAATCTGCTTTCTATCTCTGTGGATTTACCTATTCTGGACATTTCATATAAATGGAATCACATAATATGTGACACATCTGGTTATTGCACTTAGCACAGTTTCAAGATTCATCCGCATTACAGCTTGTATCAGTACTTCATTCCTTTTTATGGATGAATACTATTCCATTATATGTAATTTGTTTATCCCTCTGTCCAATCATAAGATGTTTGGGTTGTTTCCATCTTTTGATAATTGTGAATAGTGCTGCTATGAATACATGTGTACATATTTTAAGTACCTGTTTTCAATTCTTTGGGGCGTGTACCTAGGAATGGAATTACGAGGTTATATGATAATTCAATGTTTAACTTTTTGAGGAATCACCAAACTGTTTTCCACAGTATTTGAACTATTTTACATTCCCATCAGCAATGATAAGGGTTTTATTTTCTCCACATCCTTACCACACTTATTTTCCTTTTTCTTTTCTTTTTTAGTAGCCATCTAGTGGATGTGAAATGGTCTCATTGTGATTTTGACTTCCATTTCCCTAGTGATTAATGATGTTGAGCATCTTTCATGCCCTTGTTGGCCATTTGTATGTCTTTGGGAAAATGTCTATTTGTTGTTTGTCTTTCTGTTTTGAGTTATAAGAGTTCTTTAAATATTCTGGATACTAGACCCTTATCAAATAGATGATTCACAAATATTTTTCCTTTTTGTAGGCTGTCTTTTCACTTACTTAATAATGTCCTTTGATGCACAAAGTTTTTAATTTAGATGAAGTCCACTTTATCTATTTTTTTCTTTTGTTGCTCATGCTTTTGGCATACTATCAAAGAATCCATTGCCAAATCCAAGTTCATGAAGATTTACATTTACCCCTATATTTTCCTCTAAGAGTTGTATGGTTTCAGCTGTTATATGTAAGTCATTGATCCATCCTTGGTTAATTTTTGTATATTGTATGAAAAATGGGTCCAATTTCTTTTTTTTTTTTTTGCATGTGGATATCCAACTGTCCCAATGCCATTTGTTAAAGAGAGAAGATTTACCTTTTAAAACAGAGTAGGGCACAATTCTCTCCCAACATGCTTTCCTGGGAGGGAGAGAAAGGTTATTATACTCACAGAAGCTTACTTATCTGTACCACTGCGGTGAGCCCATTCCAAGCTTCTACCACTGACAAACAGCCGCAGCAATGAAAAATTATTGTGCTTTGCTTCTTGGAAAATTTAAGCATGTTTTATCAAAATCTGGTGACTTCCATGAAAATGTATTGTAGGAACCTCACCTCTCATGTGTGGGGCAGTGGAACAAATGCTAAGAACAACTAACAAGTCCAGGCCCAAGTAGTGGGGGCCTGGCCAGGGTAAGGGAACAGAGAGGAAAAGATGCATTTGAACTAAAAACCTAGTGATTAACCAGATATAGGAACTTGATGGAGAAGAGAGAGGTCTTCAGCCTTTCAGACATGGCTGACAAGTAGAATGGTGGTGACCCTAATAAAGAAGTTGAGACAAAGCCATTTGGGTAAGCCAAGATTAGTTGGGTACATAATGGGTCTAGGCTGACAGTAATAAGAGTCAGTATGGAAAAGGAAAAAGAAGAACAGACAATTTAAATCCCAGGTTTGACATTCTCCACATGATCCTGGACAAGTTTCATAAACTGCCCCTCTATTTCCGTTTCTATAAAGTGGAGGTAAAGATTAAAGACGATATAATAATGAAGCACCTAGCAGAGTGCCTGACACATAAATAGGTACTCAGGACACACAGTTATTATTATTACTGTTATGGTTAAGTGTCTTGTACGTAAGTGGAAACCATAGGACTTAGCACTCAAGGTATTGATATGGGGAGCCTAGCAGTCCCTGACACATCATAACCATGCAATAAATTTTTGCTGTATCAATAAATGAAATGGTTGATGAAATAATGATAGACCCATTACCCATCACTTACTATGCAGTGACACGACACTCTTTACATGATGCATGTAAAGAAGATGACATATGTCACCTTAGTTAATCCTTAAATCAACCCTATGAAGTAGGCGTCATTATTTTCTGCATTTACCTTTGCTGACACAGACACTGAAAGGTTACATTAGTGAGGGATGGAGATGGAATCCAAGCCCAGATCTTTCTTCAAGTGCTGTGCCATCAGAGGACAGAAAGGACTCCCACTGATCTTTAATTTTAAGGCTTATTTCGATTTCTGCCTGATCCCTAAAAGTGTCATTGATTAACTAGTTTTCACTGCTCTCCCTTTTCCTGAATTATTCCTTCAGCACCCAAAACCAATAACACACGATTTAACATAATATACTTCTTTTAATCATTCCCACTACTGCACTCCAGAATGTGATGGACTATGACTCCTAGAGGGCAAAAAAAACCTCATTCTCTTTCTTCTGGAACCCACGCCATCTCCACTCCAGGAGCCAAGCACTGA